CCAGACAAAAGGCCTTACGCTCCTGAGTGGTTGGTCCTCCGATGCACTCCCCTAGCCCCTCTTGGGCATGGCGTTTGGCGCGAGTTTTTTAGCGCGATTGGTGTAGTCGGCGTAGTCGTAGTAGTGGAAGTAGGTGTTCGAGAACCAAGTTTGCCGATGTAGAGCGTCGGCGAAGGTGTTGTAGAACTTGATGTCGAAGGTGTCGACGGAGGTTCTTGAGCCATATTGCAAAAGTTGTTTGTGAGGCGATGTTGTTGTACACGATGAAGGTGTCGATGAAGCCCCCTCATGCCGTCGCGTTGGCGGAGGCTAGTTATCATGGTTTTGCCGAAGGTCCTCCTGCAAAGCTGCTTGGCGAAGGCCAAAAGGTGTTTTTGGCGGAGGCGATGTTGGTGAAGTTATCGAAGATGGTTATGAGCCCCTCATGCCGAAGAGCTTGGCGCGGCGATGCCTACATAGACGCCGACCGCCGCGTGTCGAAGGTCGGAGAAGTCATAAAAATGCAACCGAGTTGATCTCTCGCATTTTTAGGGACTTGGGTTGGGCATTATAAACCGTCGAATATCGACTTGCTTTGCAAGTCTTTCGACACCCGGAAAGGCACTGGCTTTTCCACTAGCTGCAAAAGATGGTTAGTCATTTATATGATACGTGAAGGTAGCACGAGAGCCTTAGCTCCGTGACCTGGTGCCCATGTTGGTTCAGGACTTCTTCCAGGATTTGATGTCTCAGCACGACAGCCTTAGCTTCGTGACCTGGTGTCCGTGTTGTTTCAGGACTTCTTCCAGGATTTTGATGCATAGAGTCATGGCGCCCGTGTATTCTCGGGACTTCTTCCGGGTGGCCCGGGCCATGCATTGCAATGTACTTACGCAATATATGTATGCGATGATGAGAATGATAGCATTTGCGCAAAAATATTTAAAAGGTGTAAACTTATTATGCATGCTGCAAGAATGTTGGTTAAGTTTGAATGAAAGACAAGCTATGCATATAAGAAATAATGTCCTCAAATGAGAGGGTAATAGTTTTAGATGGCCAGCGAAGGCTGCCACTTGATAGCCTGCATGAGCACAGGTAAGATTCATAGCAGTGACTATAGTAAGGATTAGTTCCCTGTGAAGGTTAGCTCAAATATTTGATTGATATAGATATTATGAAGATCTTCAAAGAATTTAGTCAGTATAGCCTGCAAAAAAAAAGACGAGGAAAACATGTTAGTGTTTGTGGGTTCGAAGGTTGGTTGGATGTCGAAAGTCAATTTTTGATGGAGGTCTCCGACTAGAAGGCTGTAGAGTGACGAAGGCTACCAACTGATGAAGTTCAATGAGTGACGAAGACCAATCAGTGACGAAGGTTGCTGAAAACCAATGATAGATGAAATCCACTGATTGATGAACGAAGACCATGACTGACGAAGGCTTAAAAAGGCGAAGGCCAAAGACTGACAAAGGTTATTGACTGGTGAAGGCCAATACGTGTCAAAGGCACTGACCGGCGAAGACCGTTGACAGATGAATAATCGGCGAAGGTTCTTACTGACACATGCCCTGCTGAAAGTTGTAGAGAACCTTGATTGATGAAAGCCACTGACTGATGACGGAGGCTATTCACTGATCGAAGGCTGCCCATTGACTGATGACGGAGGCTGCACTGACATATAATGAAGACCAATCTCCGCCTAAGATGGTTGGAGGCCGGCCTCCGCCTAAGACGGGCGGAGGTTGTTGGCTGTTGAATACCACTTACTAGAGAAGGCCATTTGTAGATGAATATTCACTGACTCATAGAGGATCACTAAGTTATCTGATAAGTGTTGAATATTCCATGAGAACCACTGACTGGCGGAGGTTATTGACTGATTCATATAATTGTTGGACAGATATGTGATGAAGGCTGATCACTTAACGAGAAGAATTGCCTGCTGTAGAGTATTGACTGATTTGGCTTGAGGAGGTGAAAACACGCATATAACGAATGAAAATATATTCTAAGGGAGGATAAGAGATACTTACAGTACTGGTGACCTGCATGTTATTGAAAAAGAGATTCGACAAGAGTTGAAAATTGTTTTAAGTTTAGCCGGGTCAAGACCAAGCATGTATAGCCATTCAGGCCATGCTTTTGATGTGGCGAAGGCTGCAACAACTTTTTTTTGTCACATTGGTGACAAGTTGTAAGCGAAGGTTAAATTTGGAGATTTGCCTAAGTGGGGCGAAGGTTATATCAAAATTATGATGAAGTAAATCATAAGAGGACAAGTTATAAGGCATTATGAGATGGTGAGAATTTATAAATTAGTGAGAAATTCTCACGTTTTGATTTGGTTCCTGGAGGAGGTGCTTTCAACATCAATAAAAGTTTTCGCATTCTGCAAGGCTTTTTATATGCATATACACATATATGTATATACATATATCTCAATAGAAAGGAGAGAGGATGGGATACTCATCGTGTATTTTTGTCTGAGGTGCTCGATTCGTCCGGAAAACACAAAATAGACGAAGGTCCGAGCTCCGCACCATCGAACTCATATCGAGTGTGTGCCGTAGGCCCGGAGGTCTGCTATAGCCTGTTTGAAACATGGAAAAGCACGCAGCATGTTGTATTGTTAGAATAGTATTTGAGTAGGTGATTTTTATGCTTATCTTTATCGAGTAGGCGAGGCCGATGAACTTCTGCACGAAAACGTGGTGGTCGTGTTGTCCCGTGCCATCCGTGGTGGCGTCCATGGCCCTGCGCACACGTTGAGGGTGCGGCGGTGCATCGTGGACTTAGTGGAGGCCGAGCGGAGGTCCTCAGCCGTTGGTGGCTGACAGAGACGTGAGCTGGTCGTCGAGTCTGGCGAAGGTGCTGGTCTGGCTCGGTTCCGTTGCAGGCCTCCGCAAACAGGCGCAGGCTCGAGGCGCCTGGGCGGAGATAAAGCTGTGGCGCTGGACCATTAGAGGCCGAAGGCTTGTCTTTGATGAAGACGTCGAAGGCTTTCCACCAGGGTTCAGTTGGCGAAGGCTTTGCTTGGACGTTCAGCTGCTCATGGTTAGATGATACAGATTTGCAATAGCAAAATTAAGTCAAAGTTGTGTGTATATATATCGGTGTCGAAGGCATGTGAAGATGACACACATTTTTTATACATTTTTTTACAGACGGAGGCACTGGAAGCTTTGGTGCATTTCTTGACAAAAGATTATACAACCTAACTTAGTTTTTTTTTCTTATCTTTCTTAAAAACATGTGACATTGGTGAAGGCTTGTTTGTCCTTTGTTTTTTTAGTACTATTGCCGAAGGCTTTTTTGACACCTCTCTCTTTTTTTTGAAAAAGTTAATATCACCGAAGGCTTATTTGACCTGTTTCAAAAAGTTGATGAGGTTTTACGGCAGTTGTCATCTCTGTCATCTAGCCATGAAGATTTATGAAAAAGTTTTATACGAAGCTATAACCTTCGCTATCTGCTATGGTTTAGATCGTACCTTTGCCCTGAGGATTTTACCTTTTCTCGGGGATTCTCACAGGACATGGTCTGCCAACGAAGGCTCCAGCTTCTAGCTCTCTAAAAAATTTCGTGCCGAGCACGGTGGGCGCCACTGTTGATACCTCGGTTTCTAACAAGAGTGAGAAGTGGGCGGAGGCCTTCGTCTTAGGTTGGGGTCTCCGCCTAAGATGGGCGGAGGTCTACCTCCGCCTAAGACGGGCGGAGGCCCCCGTACGCACGCCTGTCGGACAAGATCCCTCGACGGAGGTTCCAGGTAAATCGTTGCTAGACGAGGGACTTGGAAGGGTTTTGCTAAGTGGGAGTAAGAGAAAAGGGCGGAGAACTTCGGCTTTGGCCGAGGCTCCAGTCTCTGGCTTTGGCTCAGGCTTGCCTGAAGAAGAGAGTGAGGATCAAGTACCGACTCATAAGAACTAGGGTTTCATAATTGCTTCACCAACCTCCTCCTCACAGTTACAAGTGTTCCCTATTTATAGGGCTCAACTACCACTTTACAGAGTTTACAACATTGCCCCTCAACTGCTACGGTACATTCTAGGAATATTCCAGCCCTAGTGTCTAACCTCAGGGGTGTTCTCGTCATACCGTCTTGCAATGTCTTCACCTTGAGCCTAAGACGACGCCCATTGGAGGCCCATCAACTGTCCTCACGTATGCCTTGCTGACTTGATCGTTCCTTGATGGGCCTCCGCCGCCTTGGGGAACACCTTCGCCATGATCACTGCGCTTGGCCTCCGCTGTCCCGGGGAGAGCCTCCACCGTCCCGGGGAGAAACTCCACCGTCATTCTTGTACTAGGCCTCCGCCGTCTTGGGGGGAAGCCTCCGCCGGCCGGGCCTCCGCCGTCTTGGGGAGAGCCTCCGCCGGCCGGGCCTCCGCCGTCTTGGCGAGAGCCTCCGCCGGCTAGGCCTCCGCCGTCTTGGGGAGAGCCTCCGCCTGCTAGGCCTCCGCAGCCTTGGGGAGAAGCCTCCGGCCTCCGCCGCCTTGGGGAGAGCCTCCGCCGGCCGGGCCTCCGCCGTCTTGGGGAGAGCCTCCGCCGGCCGGGCCTCCGCCGTCTTGGCGAGAGCCTCCGCCGACTAGGCCTCCGCCGTCTTGGGGAGAGCCTCCGCCTGCTAGGCCTCCGCTGTCTTGGGGAGAGCCTCCGCCGGCCGGGCCTCCGCCGTCTTGGGGAGAGCCTCCACCTGCTAGGCCTCCGCCGTCTTGGAGAGAGCCTCCGCCGGCTAGGCCTCCGCCATTATTCCTTCATCAGGCCTCTTCGAGGGGGAGTTGACCCGTACTCCGTATGGGCTCCCCCAACAAACTCCTCCAGGTTTTTCATGGTAGCCCTCCTCTCCCATGATGAGTTCCACCTCTTCCTGTCGACCTAAGCCAAGCCATTCTGCTGACAAGCAAATAATTAATAGTCTAGAAAGAATGCAGTACATGAGCCACTGTACGATATTATTGTTAGCTAAATGCATTATCAGTATCCATCGAGAACTAAATAGAGGTACTGTGTTTTTCAATCAATCAATGAGAAAAGTGAGAATGCCATACCTCTAGCATTGCAGCACTGATGCTGCTTTCAGCATCTTCATCATACATGCTCACAATAAGTACTTCTCCAGTTCCTTGTCCTTCTAGCTTCGCTCCCACACTGCCGCGCTCTTCAACTGTTGCTTTGAACTCTCCCTCATTATCAAGCAAGAGCATTCTTAGATACCCTGCAGCTTTTTCGCCAAGGTCATCCATTATGTCAGGAACTACAACGAATGCAAGACTGCACAGCTTGGCTAGTGGAGGAATCACGGAAATAGAAAATTTCGCAGGCGCAGGTCTCAAGTGGATGTAAGTAACGATCTCTTGGTTTCCATAATCAATATAAAACACCTCGAACTCCCTCTCTGTGGGACCCTGATGTTCACTCACAATCTGCGCATAACAGGAAATTATGAGTGTATATTCACAATTTGACATACGGACAGGAGTCTAAGGAAAAAAGAGAAGATAAAGATTTAGGATTTTTCTTAGAGATGTAAAGTTGCAAACCAAAAAACTTTGAGCAAAGAATATATAAATATAAGATATATAACATTGGGTTTCATCATACCATGGCTCTGTTCCAAGAATGGTCGAGGCTGAACTGGGCTAAAACCACATCTCCCTTTGTTGGATTAAATGGAATATCATTTGATGGATCTTTAACTTTAGAAGTGCTTGGCTCTTCAGCAGATTGAACTTCACCTTTCATAGTATTTAGGTGATCTTTAAACAAACTAGACCACCTAACAGGAAGAGGATGAACCACATGATTATGTGGCTTCACTTTAACTTCCAAAGTATCCGTTTGAGTATTTATTGTTTGATCTTGATTTTCCAACGTATCAGAGGTATCTTTAGAAGTCTCTGATATTTCATTGAATTTCAGAGAAGCAAGCTGTTGTTGGATGTTGTCCACGCGATGGTCACCAACTATATGGGCATAGAACTTTCCACCACCAAGGACTTCAGTTACAATAACCTTAAAAGAACATGAAGTAAAAGTTAATTAGAACATTTGTATTGTGCATGTTTTCATGTTACCGCAAAAAAAAATTAAGTAGACAAACCTTGAAAATCTCTTTTCCATTTTGTTCAGTCATGGATCCTTGGGGAATGACTTCTAGTTCATTGTAATTCTCCAACACCTGGAAAGCAAGAGTGCTATAATTAACTGAACATTACATGTTCTCTATCTATTATAAAAACTGAACTACATCACCTTCAGTTTGTTCTGCTTTGCGGTTTTTTCTGCCTCGATGAGATTTTGAGCATATGGATTCCTGTCGAGTCCGAATGAACTAAGTCTGGCTAGGCCAACTTGAAGAAGAACAGAAGCCATATTGGTCTTGGACTCCCATAAGGAACCTAAGAATGTTCCATTCTTGTCCACTGCTTCAATCTCAATCTGCACAAGCACGTGCACTCAACATCCTTCAGAGAAATGCATAGCCAAGAAAATGAACAGAGCGAAGAGAAAAATGTAAATAGAAGTAAATGAACATAATGAACAAGAAGATGCAAATAGACAATCAAATGAAAAAAAGAAATAGGAAATAATGTACCTCCACATCACGTTGGAGTATCCTTCTTCTCATCAAACTAATGGCATCATCTGAGTAGGGTTCGTTTTTACCAGGGCACCGGACACAAGAGAATGAAAAGGCAATGGTGCTTGTCTCATGAGGTATTGTTAGTTTAAAGCGGTGGCCACTAAAAATGTAGTCAACAACAGCAGAATGCTTTTTATTTCGCTGCAACAAATGGAAAAACTCTCTCGCCTTCTTTCCAGGAACCTAGAAAATGAAGTTGGATTAAATAATTGATCTGAGGCAAGAAACAACAATTTAAAACTTCTCTGGCAAGAGGGAAATCCTAACTGTTGTCAAATCATTCATGTGAATCACAGGATAATCCTTTTTGGAGTGATATCCTTTCTTTGCTTTTTCAGCACGTGAATAAGCCCCCAGGAGTGCATCATAGTGGTGTGACCTCTCCTCGTAGTCCCGATGTCGTGTGATATCAGCAAATCCTCGCGAGAGTAGGAGCACAGCCACATTGGCTCCAAGCGGGTTGCTAGAGCTATTAGGGGAAGGAGAACCAGTTCCATCAACCAGCGAAGGTAGGAAGACGGATCCATAATCTAAAACTCTGGTGCCAACTTGGTTGGTTTTGTCAGTGACAACTTGTCCATTTGCAATGTTGATTCTCCTAGAATACTCCATTGAGACATGAACCTGAACGTTTAAAGATTGAGTCAGATCATGAGATCAAATTTTTAAAGAACAAAAATTCTATGTTCTTTTTTCAATTTATCACTAACAAGTAGTATATTGTTTTAAAAAGATAATGAATAGAACAATACATTTCCCATACCTGTTTACCAATTAGTCGTGTGTGCGCAAGAATTCCTTGGCTGCACGACCAAAATGTTCAATAGTTTCGCTCTCTCCAGAAGGATGAACCAACTTAGGAGCTCTCTTATACAAGAAAGGTTTACTCGGCGTTCTGCCAAAGGACTTCCACAAGGCCCAACATCACCAGCAACAATTACACAGTACCCGTTCACCACCTCTATGACCTGTAGTGATATTAAATCCAAACCATATTAGTACAGATGATAATGCATGGGCAATTAAATAGATCCTGCTGCAATCTTACAACCCCAGAATGTAAGATTTGCCAAAAGGTTATATAATTTGTTAATATATTTTTTAAAAAATAATAGAGATGAATCTTTAACTCATGTGCACCACCTGGAGTTGATGTTCTCATAAAAAGAACAGTTGTATTATACCTAAACTACCCTCTATGATTCCAAAATCAAAGAACTGCATACTTTGGTCACAACCACTCATCCAGTACCATTATTTTGATCGATGTACTTGACCAGAGGTTACAGTATGCAGGCGCTCAGCAAGTTACCATCATTGCCACTTATTCCCCACAATTGATAAGAGGAAGACCATGCAAGCCACAATTTAGCAGCCGCCCCCTCAGTTCAATATGTGCACATATACAGTAGGATCCAATTTTCTACGCAACTTTACTAACACAAAACAACAAATACTGGTTCTGGTTGGTGTGCATTAAATTAAATTACACTGCATTAAATCCTCTCATCAATATACAAATATGGGTGCCCAAAACATTGTGCAGCGCCATCATTGAGACTGCTGTTGCACTACCAGCCTCAAGCACTCTTAAATTACATAGCCTACACGCGCCAATACATGTTAAACAAGCCAAAGATTTGAATTTGTTACTTTTTTACACATACATATAATATTCTTTCATAGATAACTAGATCAAAATATTCATATACTCCTTTTTTGTATTTTCATATAAGAAATATTTTTCAGAGTAGATTTTGGCTATTAATTTCTCTTACATAATCATATCTTAAAATCAACCAACAACATAAAAGTGTTCTTGAATATGGACCTCCTGATGCAATTTTCACAATAAAACATATATATTTGACTAATTGATGGTCAAAACTTGTCAAGCTTGAGTTCGTTGCATCAGAATACAGCTTACATTTATGATGGATGTAGTATTCTTGTTTCTAGGGCCATAAACCTTCAACGTATGTGTCAGTTGCTTGATCACCTCCGCGGCTGATGTGGTGGTTATTCGGTTGGTTAGGGCTACTTGGCGGCGGCTGGCCGGCAGGGCAGCGGCGGTAGCTGGCTGTCCAGGGGAGTGGCCTGGCTGGTGGGCGGCGGTGGCTGGCCAGGCAGGAGGCCTGACGGGCAGCAGTAGGGGAAGGCGGCGCAGCAGCAAGCAGCAGAGAGGCGGTGGCGGTAGAGAAGAAGAGGAGAGGAGGCGGCGCGCAGAGAAAAGGAAGGGAGAAGGGAAAGGGATAATGGGTTTAACCCTAAACTTGCTTTCCTTCTCATTAAGTGTCCCCCTCATATATATATATAAGGGGAGTTACAATTGCTAACGGGCTTGGCCCATGAGACTTAATCTATAACAGCTGGGCCTATTACCCCTCGCTACTCTAACTAGCCTATTGCCTTGTTCCGTTGCCTTCTCCTAGTATAGGTCTTGCCGATCATGACAGTATGCAATTAATGTTTCCACCTCTAATGCAAATAAATTAATGCTACTTCTATTTAAATGAACATGAAAAAGGAACTGAATATTTTCTATTTAAAAGAACATGAATAGTTGTAAAGGAACTAACTTTTCCTGTGAATTTATGGTTGTGTATGGGTCTTGTATTTGTAGCAGGTGGCCGAAATCCGGTCCATATCCTTAGGTGTTCCTTCTTAGCCTGAATATCTGCATTCTTTAGCTTTTGTTTGGTTTCCGTCCCAAGCATGTTCGCACTCCATTCCATATGCTTTGCAAACCCCTGTATGAAAAAGTGATAGGAAGTGCTCGAAGGTAAGTTAAATTTAATAAGAAATAACTAATGTAGCAATATTTTATTGATGAAAGGCCTACGCAATAATCCTTACATTTTCTATAAGCTCAAGTGCTAAGTCCTTATCAGTATTTCCATCACAATAATACACTGAAGCAAACATGTTATCAAAACTGTCTGTGCCCCTCAATATAATCCGTACCTACATAGAATGTGAATATATAGGAATTATATTAGTCAAAAGGTAGTATTAAGCTCTGAATTGTAATAACTTAATGTTAATAGTGAACAAAGCAAACTTATTTCTCTGTTCAGAACTCTTGTCTCGGTGAAGTGTTTGGCCTCTCTACCGAACCTATCTGGTGGAATTTCAGAATAAGTACTAGATGATGATGGTACGAGCTTCTGTTCTGCTGCCATAGGTACTTGAGCTGTTGTTGTTGACTGTTCACATCAACATCTCCAGTAGCTCCAGCTTGAGAAGCCATACTTGGAATGAATGCTCGTCTTCCCATAGATGGAGCCTATGATATGAGTCCGACAAACATTTTTTGTTAAAAAATGTTCAATTCAAGAAGAGGTAAAGGAAAGAGTAAAAAGACAACAGACAACAAGAATAATGTTACCTGAACTCCAGCAATATAAACCTGAACGAAATGAAAACTAGGAAGCAAGTAAACTCGGATGGTACTACCATCACGGACTTGCTCGACAATAGCCTCCAAGGTCTTCCCTTTCATTTTAGCAAAAAAACCCTTTACTTCAGAAGGGTTGGTCGATGCTGGCAGAATTCTAGTTGAAGCCTCCATGATTGTCATGTTCCTAGATAAACAACCAATAAGATATACATTTTATGATCACAATGCAACCAACAAGTGTGTGCTCTAATGCACGTTAACTAGACGTTTGGTAATTAAATCTCATATACTAACCTTACTCCAACAACCTAAACCTTGATCTTTAGCCTTTTCCTCCAATCTTAGCAATTCTGTGGTATATGGATTGTTGTCACCCTTACGACGACCTTGCTCTTTTACCTGATCAACCAGAATAGCATTTGGAATTAAATGATACATAAAATAGAATATGAGAAGATCACAAAAGCAATAAAGAGTGAAAGATCATCTCACCTTGGCAAACCCATTGGCAACTACAAGGTATGCAATGTTTGTGTCACCAAGATAAATTGTTCCATACTCACGGCCTGGAGCAGTAGAGTCCACATTAAACAGAATATCCTGCTTTCAGTTTTAGCTCATATTAGCTATCAAAAACATCAGATGCTATGCAAAAGGAGAGCTCATGAGTACATATTGTTGGGCCCGGGATCTCCCACACGAGTGAGCCGACCGGTCACCGGGTGAGCCGACCGATCACCGGCATTCTCGCACACACACTATGGCTGGAGGTAGAAGAGGGAGGAAGAACAGAGCGTACACACACAACACAAGCACCGGCGTTAGCCGGAGCTCTGCAGAGGAGATGGCAAAACCGAACTCTCTCAACACTTTACTGAGTTACAGTGGAAAACTATATATACAACTCTACCCATCTAATCATAGTACACAGACATGCCAGGCTGCCATGCTGCTACAGTGACTAGATATGACAGCAGGGCTGACTTTGGCGCCTGCCCCAGCTGCGGCTACAGTGCAGCGGCAGGGGAGCCCTTTTGGAGCCTGCCCCTGCCGCACGTACAGAGGGAGAGCAGTAGATTACTTTATAATGCTTCCCCTAATCCTGCTGCTAACCCTAGAACCTCCACCATACCGATTATCTTCTTCAGCTCCGTGATCCGAAGATGACCGAGTGGCTTGGTGAGGACGTCCGGGAGTTGCCGACCAGTTTCGACAAACTCGATGATGATCTGCCCTTCATCGACGTAGTGCCCGAGGAAGTGAAAATTGACGTCGATGTGCTTGCTCCGGTCGTGGAGAACCGGATTCTTCGCGAGGGCGATGGCGGGCTGGTTGTCCACCATCAGTGCTGGTGGGTGAGCTTCCACATCGATCAGCTCGCCCAGCAGCCGGTGTAGCCACACAGCTTGGCACGCCGCTGTGGCCACCGCCACGTACTCTGCCTCGCACGTGGACAGCGCCACCACCTTCTGTTTTAGCGACAACCATGAGATTGGAGTCGACCCGAGGAAGATGAGCACGCTCGAGGTGCTCCGCAGTCCGTCGATGTCCCCCACCATGTCTGCATCGCTGAACACAGTGAGCTGCAGCCCAATTCCGCTGGTCTTGGGGAAGATGATCCCCTAATCCACTGTTCCCTTGACGTAGCGCGACAGCCGCTTTACCATGGCCCAGTGATCCTCTCAGGGATCCTCCATGAAGCGGCTAACGTAGCTCACGACGAACGCAATGTTCGGCCTCGTGTGGACTAGGTAGCGCAGACCGCCGACGATGCTCCGGTAGAGTGTTGTATTTACCTTCGCCATGGTACTGGCCTTCATCAGCTTCAGCCGCTCCTCCATTGGAGTCACGCAGTCTCCTTCCCCTATCTCACCTCGATGCCGAAGTAGTAGGAGAGCGCGTTGAGATCGCTTATTCGAAAACAAGCCGCCATCTCGCACTTGAAGCTATCGATGTCCTCCGCACGAGCGCCGGTGACGATCAAGTCATCCACATACACGCCGACGATGAGCTCCTCCTTCCCCCATCGCCGCGTGTAGAGCGCGTGCTCAGTTGTGCACCATGTGAACCTAAGCTCGCCTAGCTGAAAGGTTCTAATGGCTAGAGGGGGGTGAATAACCTATTAAAAATTTCTACAACATCACTAAGATGAATGATTAGTCAATAAGATGGCTAAGCAAATTTTGCGTTAGCACTATACTTGGGGTTGCAAGCCACCTACCCAATTTTATTTTATATAGTCTCTATCCACACAATGGCTATGTTGCTACACTAAGTTAGTGTGCTCTCAAAGGCCAACTAAAGAGCCACACTAACCAAACTAACAAGCTCTCACGACTAGCTACACTAAAGAGCTTGACAATTAATTTGTGGTAATGTAAAGAGATAGAGCAAGATGGATATACTGCCGAGTCGAGGAATGAAGCAATCAATCAAAAAGAAGAACACCAATGAATACCAATCACCTCGGAATCAAATGATGACACAATGATTTTTTACCGAGGTTCACTTGCTTACCGGCAAGCTAGTCCTCGTTGTGGCGATACACTCACTTGGAGGTTCACGCGCTAATTGACATCATACGTCAAACCCTCAATAGGGTGTCGTACAACCAACACAAGATGAGGATCACACAAGCCACGAGCAATTTACTAAAGTACCTTTTGGCTCTCCGTCGGGGAAAGGTCAAGAACCCCTCACAATCACCATGATCGGAGCTGGAGACAATCACCAACCTTCGCTCGACGATCCTCGCTGCTCCAAGCTATCTAGATGGTGGCAACCACCAAGAGTAACAAGCGAATCTCGCAGTGAAACCGAACAACAAGTGCCTCTAGATGCAAACACTCAAGCAATGCACTTGGATTCACTCCTAATCTCACAAAGATGATGAATCAATGATGGAGATGAGTGGGAGGGCTTTGGCTAAGCTCACAAGGTTGCTATGTCAATGTAAATGGCCAAGAGTATGAGCTAGAGCCAGCGGCTTAAATAGAAACCTCCATGAAATAGAGCCGTTGTACCCCTTCACTGGGCACTGCTCGGGGTGACCGGACGCACCTAGTCCAACGTCCGGTCAACGAATGCACGGCACGTGTCGCCTTCATTCAACCTCAGTCGCTTGATCCCAACGGCCAAGTGATGACCGGACGCAGCACAGTGCCAAGACCGGACACACCTTTGCCAAGTCCAGTCATTTCTAAAGAGGTTCCATTCATTACCGACGAGTTAGTTTGATCGCGACTGGACGTAGGACCCCAGCGTCCGGTCACTTCCAGTAAGGTTCTACTCATGACCAAACTCGCCCAGCGTCCGATCACTCCCCTTCTTCACTATGTGCTGCCACATCAGCATGACCGGACGCTGAATAGTGTTCAGCCAGAGTCCAGTCACCTGCGTCCAGTCTCAAGCCGAGAGTACCACCTTCTTTTATAATTGACCGGACGCTGCTCCCCCAAGTCCGGTCACCACGTGACCAGTGTCCGGTGCACTCTATGAAACCCTGTCTTTTCTGTACAAGGCGCCGGTGGCACTGTCGAACTGTCCACACTAACACTCCTCCGGTGAAGTTTCTAAGCCTTGCTCCCAAGTGCTAACCACAATGTGTATCACCTTTGTGCATGTGTGTTAGCATGTTTTCTCAAACATTTTTAAGGTTGTTAGCACTCCACTAGATCCTAAATGCATATGCAATGAGTTAGGGCATCTAGTGGCACTTTGATAACTGTATTTTGATACGAGTTTCACCCCTCTTAATAGTACGGCTATCGAACCTAAATGTGATCACATTCGCTAAGTGTCTTGATCACCAAAATGAAATGGCTCCTACCACTTATACATTTACCTTGAGCCTTTTGTTTTTCTCTTTCTTTTCAAGTCCAAGCACTTGATCATCACCATGGCGTCACCATCATCATGTCATGATCTTCTTCTGCTTCACCACTTAGAATGTGCTACCTATCTCATGATCACTTTGATAAACTAGGTTAGCACTTAGGGTTTTATCAATTCATAAAAACCAAACTAGAGCTTTCACTAGTGTGGCGTCAAGCCTGCCATAGAGCATAGAGAGCCTTGCGCAGTTGGAGCACCCTGTGCTCTGCTCCCTTGATGGTAAAACCTGGAGGTTGCCTGACGAAGGCCGTCTTCACCAGCTCGCAGTTGAGGAAGGCTGATTTTATGTCCAGGTGATGGACGTGCTAGTCCTTCGCTACTGCTAAAGCCAGCAACAGTCGGATAGACTCCATGCGTGCTACCGGTGCAAAGACTTCCTCGAAGTCAATGCCCTCGCACTAGACAAAGCCTCGGGCGATGAGGCGTGCCTTGTGCTTGATAATGGCGCTACACTCATCCCGCTTGACCGTATACACCCACTTCAGGCCAATCGGACGACATCCTAGAGGTGGATCAATGAGCTCCCAAGTCTCGTTTTCCTCGACCGCCTTCATCTACTCTAGCATCGCCCGTCGCCAATTTACATCGCGCTCGGCCAGCGCGAACATGGGTGATTCCTCTGCACTAATGAGAAATAGCTCTGTGTCATTGAGTAGTCGACTCGCCAGGCTTGAGGACCCTGTGCCACCGCCGATGTCGTCCAGCATGTGGAACCGCACCTCCTCACCGTCGTGAAAGGCATCCACGAACTCAGTGATGTCGCTTGGAGGTGAGGCGAACTCGATCGGCATCGATGGAGTCCCCTGTTCTGCTAGAGTGGTCGACACAACACCTGGAGTGCTCGGCACCCTGGCTACAGTGCTCGGCACCACTCCTAGAGTGCTCGGCACCCTTCCCAGAGTGCTCGGCACCGCTCTAGGAGTGCTCGGCACCAATCTTGGAGTGGTCGGCACCACTGCAAGACCTCTCAGCGCCGCTACGGGAGCATTCAGCACCCGTCCTGGAGTGGTCGGCACCACTGCAAGACCGCTCGGCACCACTCCTGGAGTGCTCGGCACCCCTCCTAGAGCACCCTAAGAGTGTTCGGCTCTGTTGCTGGAGTGGTCGGCTCCTCCTCTCCAGCGTCTCCACCACCATTGATGACCAAGTGCTCGATGACAAAGGTGCTGGTGAAGCCGCCAGGTTTCCCTGTGCCTAGACTGTCCTAGTCCTAGGCCGCCTTCTCATCGAACATGATGTCACGCGAGACAACCACCTTGCCTCCGTGTGGGTCATGGAGACGGTATGCCTTGGTACCTTCCTAGTAGCCTAGGAGCACCATCGGTGTGCTCCTATCCTCCAGCTTGGTGAGGACTGGCTTCGTCTTCCTGACGTGGCCGATGCAGCCAAATGTCCGAAGAAAGGACACGCTCGGCTTGCGCCCATACCAAGTTTCGAATGGTGTCTTTCCCTTTAGGGCATGGTGGGCGTGTGGTTGAGGATGGACACCACCGTCATCACTGCCTCACCCTAGAACCTTGCCAACATACTCTTGGCCTTCATCATGGATCAAGCCATGCCGACCACTGTCCGGTTTCACCGTTCCACCATGCCATTCTGCTGCGGCGAGTACGACGCGTTGTGGTGTCGCACCACACCCTGATCCACGTAGTATGCAACGAACTCCACCGAA